TCACTATTTCCAACCATGTCCTTTTGGGCCTACTCCTTACCCCTTTGAGCCCTTCCACTTGAACCAACGCACACCTCATAACAGGTGCCATACTGGGTCTGTGCTGCATATGGCCAGCCCACCGAAGTCTATTTTCTCTCATCTTAACGCCCATTGGAGCCACACTTAAGTTCTCCCGAATGTATTCATTTTGAATTCTCTCCTCTTGTCTTGCTACTCCTCCATCTCAACATCTTCATCTCATCTACACTCATCCTATGGGTATGTTGTTTCTTGACCGCCCAATATTCTGTCCCATAAAGTAAAGCTAGTCTCACAGCTGTTCTATAAAACTTCTCCTTCAGCTTCACATAAAACTCTGGTTGCACATCTCCCCTTTACGTACCCAGCTCTAATTTTATGCGCGACATCTTTTTCAATCTTTCCATTTTCTTGGATTATTGACCCAAGATATCAAAAGTACACACTTTTTGGTATTTCTTGGCCATCAATCTTAACTACTTCCTTGTCTGTACTATTATTACTAAATTTTCATTCCATATACTATATCTTAGTCCAGCTAATTTAAAACTTTTAGATTCTAGAGTATTCCTCCAAAGTTCTAGCTTTGGATTAGCGCCACTTCAGGTCTCATCAATTAAAACTATGCTGTTGCAAACAACATACACCACGGTACCTTATCATGCAAGTGCCTAGATAAGTGGTCCATAATTAAGACAAAGAGGTATGGGCTCAACACCTACTCCTGATGTAGATTTATTGTCACTAAAAATTCATTTCTCTCTACCAGTTGTTTGCACACCAGTTAGCGCTCCCTCATATATCTCTCACCAAGTCGATAGAGTATTTGGAGAGTCTTCTTTTTCAACACCCACTTAAATGTCGAGGTACTCTATCATAAGTTTTATTTAAATCAATAAAGACTATGTGGAGATCTTTTCTCTTTGTCTTGAACTTCTCAATCAATTGCCTAAGTAGGAAAATAGCCTCAATTGTTGACCTCCATGGCATAAAATCGAATTGGTTTTCTAATACACTATTATCATGCTTTAGTCGTTACTCAATCACCCTCTCTCAGTTTAATAGTGTAGCTTATAAGTTTGATCCCTCGATAATTCTCACAATTTTGTATGTCCCCTTTGTTCTTGTAAACAGGCACCACGGTACTGTTCCTCCATTCGTCTGCCATGTTCTTTGTTCCTTGTTGAACAACTTGATTAGCTAGTCAATATTGATATCCCCCATGCACTTCCAAACCACTATCGGGATACCATCTGTTCCTAAAGTCCTAGTTTCATCATCTTCAAAGATTCTTGCTCTTCTGATATCATGATCCTACGAATGTGTCTATGACCGCTGCCCTCATTTATGTCAATAGCTCCTACCACTGTGTTCGTCATTTAATGATTTTTTAAAATAAGCTCTCCATCCTTCGTTGACCTCTTCATCATTCACCAAGACCTTTTGATCATCACTCTTAATGCATTTAATATGGTCTAGATCCCTACATCTTTTCTCTCATTTTTGCTATTAAAGACATCTTTTTCACCTTTTTTTTTTCCTAGTCTACTGTATAGATTATCATATTCCTTAAGTTTAGCCTTACTTACCATTTGTTTAGCATTTTTATACTCTTCTAAGCTTTGATCATTTCTATTACATTGCTAAGTTTTATAACATGATTGTTTTTCGCTAATGGCCTTCTGAACCTCATCACTCCACCAAATTTCGTTATTGGAATTCTTTTCCCTCAAGTTTTTCTTAAAATTTCTTTTGCCACTTTCTTAATATAGTCAGTTATCTCATTCCACATAATGTTGACCTCACATTCAGAATTCCATTTTCCTTCTTTAACTAATTTATCCGAAAATAAGTCCATCTTCTCATTTTTAAAATTCTACCACCTGGTTCTTGGACACCTATTAATTTCACACCTTCTCTTCCATCTCTTCATGTAAACATCCATAACCACGAGCCTATGTTGCATAATCAAACTCTCTATTGGGATAACCTTACAGTTTTTACAAGATGGTCGATCTACCATCTTAACTAAGAAGAAGTCTATTTTATTTTTATATTATTCACTTTTACAAGTTATTAAATGTTCATCTCACTTTTTAAAGTAAATGTTTGCAATTGCTAGGCTGTAGGCCACAACAAAATCTAGAATATCCTCACCCATCTCATTTTTTTCACCAAACCCATATCCTACATGTATCCCTTCGTATCCTCTACTATCCTTCTCTACATGACCATTTAAGCCCCTTCCAAAAAAGGTCAGCTCTTCATTTGGTATGCCTTGAACTAGTACATCCATGTCCACCTAGAATTGTCTCTTAATTCTATCCTCTAATCCTACTTGTGGTGCATAAGCACTAATTACGTTAATTATCTCTTTCCCTAATATAAATTTAATTAATAGGAGCCTATCACTTACTCTCTGGATATTAACTACATTTTTAAATCTTCGTATATTATTTTGACTACATCATTTCTGTTATTTTCTTTTTCTATATACCAAAGGTTATGCCTGTCTATTACCTTAGCTTTTTCCCCTTTCCACTTAGTTTCCTATAGACAAGTTATATCTACTCTCATTTGTCTCATTGTATCCAATAACTCCATAATTTTATCTATAAGTGTTCCTACATTGCATGTTGCTAGACGATTCATATTCTCTTGGATGCGATTCAAGCTTCTTTAACCTCACTCATCTAGAATGTCGCAGGAACCCTTGCCTATTTTTCACTGCAATCGAGCGTCGCTATGGCGCATCGCTTATGGGAGATGCCCTAGCTACCCCTTGCTCATTTCTCATTGTACCCTGGTTCTGATACAGTGTGTCGCCTATAAGGAACACCCTAGCATAAGCAGATAAGGTAGATTCATGATACAAGAAAAAGTCCAAATTTTATGGGACTATGAAAGATTTAGTTCTAATCCAACTAGAAGTGGATATGGGTCAAAGATTCAAGGGATAAAGACTACATTCCTTCCTGATCATGATGGTTGATTTAGCGATGGATGGCTTTGATATGTTTTCTCTCACGTAACATATTACTTGGGAATCCTCCAACTGAATTCTAATTGAGATGGGCATACCTTAGGGCCATAAGGCCTATGAAAGGGGTCCTCCCCCTCATTCGATCCTGACGAGTTCAGACCTCTCTTCTCTCCTCTCCTCTCCTCCATGCCCCTCTCTAGCTCTCTCTCTCTCTCCTCTCTCTAGGACAAGTACACCCAATCTAAGAGGCTAGGCCATAAGGGTGGCACACATCACCCAAACTAGCCAACTTAGGACGCATGCCCAGCCCACCTTCTATTGCATTCAAGCTAGGCGCCCTTTGTGGCATGACCCAAGGTTAAGGGTTGAAAAGAAACCCATAGTTGTCCATACTTTCAGCCCCGGTTCTATTAGAGATCATTACCTAAGGTGCTTCTCATTTCGAAGGATTTAGCAGGTCAACAGGACCAAAGAATCATAGCGCACCATCGGTTCAATAATCAGGGGTGTCCTGAGTCTTAAGGGGGTAACCCTCGGCAAAGGTTCAATAAGTCTTCCCAATTTTATTTATCAGTTTATTTGTTGTTCTTGAATCGTATTTATTTTAAAAGCCCTAATCGTATTAGTAGTTCTATTTAAATTAGGATTCCTACTCGGACACGGACTCCTACTTAGAGTAAAAGTCCTAATTGCATTAGAATCCTTTTTCTTTTTTTAAGACATATTAAAGGCAGGAATAGAGGGTGGGTGCATTTGAAATCATATTGTAAGTTTGAATTCAGTTTTGAATGAAGTTTTATTTGGCAGTACGAGTTAAAAGTTCCTAGATTGTAGTAGGTTTATTTTTGTATTACATTGCGGCAATTGTAAGGAGAAATTCTAGTTATTAATTAAGAAAAAGAGAACTTTTTTGAATTCATACCTTGGAATTCTACATAGCCACAACTTTCATTGGCTAGCTCTCACATCAAAAATCAATCCAATAAATTTTATATAGAGGAATAACTTCTAAGTAAGCTATTTTGTTGAGGTACAAAACCTCAAATCACCAAAAACAACTCATCTCCCAGTGGTTTAGTGGTCCTCAAACGAAAGAAATAAGGAACCATTATATATTTAAGATCCACAAATAAAAGAAAAGAGGGAACAATGTGTCCAAGTATAGACATTTGAACAAGTTCAAAGAATGACAGAAACCAATACATTCATCAGACAATGATGAATAGAGAACACAAAAAATTAGCATATGCTAGAGGGATGCATAAATGAGAAATTGAAGTATGAATGTAAAAACCCAATGTTCTGAAAACTTTTTTAGGGAGAAAAATGCTAAAAAAGCAAGAACCCAGCAACTTTGCAATCAAGACACTTTTATAGAGGGAAGAACCTTCCAATAAAGCAAGGACCATGAGCTGTTTTTGACAGGAAAATGGTCAATATAACAACTTCAATAGGTGTAAGAAACAAAAATATTACAAGCCAGACACATCTCCAGTAATCATTTATTGATACTCCCAGGCAAGGTTTTGTGCATGTTTACATGAAGCACCAGATTGTACAGATAAACACATCACCACTTATTCGCATACAGTCATATGTGAGAGAGCTTTTGCAGAGAAAAAAAAATCCAGTAAATATGATAGAAAAGAGAGAGAAGACAATCCATTCACTTAACACATAATTTCCAACAAAATTATGAGTAAACATGAAAATTGGAAATTGCATGATTGGCTACAGACTTCCACAAGGAACCCCAGACAATCAACCAAATCTCCAGTCCTGAAAATTATTACGAACATTAAACTAGACAAAAGTAAGTTGATAAAATCCCCAAAAACACATGAATTTCTTAGTAAGGTTTCTAATTGTTCTAACAACTATGAGAAACACCTTAGGGATGAAGGAATTTTCATGGTAGATGAGCACACCAAAGTCACAAAATGAAATTTAGGATTTCCAATTTATAGGCCTACAGAAACCAGGATGTGGAACCAACCTAAGTTCTTCAGAACAAAAAACAGAGAGCCTTCCCCTTCATGCCCAATAAGGTGACTAAGGTACCTACAAGGCCCCTCTTTGTAATGACGAATATTTGGTGTAACTGGCCATATGATGTTCAACTTGTGACCTTCCTTAACAGGAACAGCTTTGATGAGAACCTGATATAAAAAGTTAAAAAATAGGATTAGACATCAGACAAATCCATTTGATCACCAACTGGAAATATCTTTAGGTTACTCCTTATAAATACTCTTTAGCTTAAAGAACTATATAATAAAAAAATTGGTGTATCTAGAGAGAATATGGTCAATCACCTATCCTCACATATTAACTAATGCTATCCTTACATATTAATTAACGCAAAGGTAATATAACTAAATAAATTCTATACCTGAAGGTGCTCGGAAGTACAAGGACGACCAGGATAAATAGAACAGCTTCTAGCAGTATTCCTAATTCCATGAAACTTTTCCTCCACCATATGTTGAATGTCATCAAGATTTTCTGTCAAAATGGGTGGTGCAAAGTGTATTTAAGTACCTTTGGAGGGTGTATTCAAAGAACTGCATCATTGATTCCATTTCACACAGCAAACAATAATCACTTACTTTTCCCATAGACAACTAGATGCATAAGATTGGCTGAATAATTCTCCTCATAAAACTTAATAAGCTCATCTCTTGTATCTAGCCCTTTTGCTTTAGGTCTTACCTCCAAAGTATCCCAATTTCCTAAAAATTGTGAACAACAAAATCAGACAAATAAGCTAATATAAAAAATTAATCACAATTTAGCAACAAACCAGATATATAAGCAGGATCAATAATTTGAGAAGAAATCCTTAACAACTACTAGCATTAAGTATTAATGCAAATATGAATATAAGAAAATATAATCCAGACAACACTTCTACCAGTAAACCAGGTGTAACCTTTGAAATGGGTATCCCTCGAGATAACCCTGGAATGCAATTACAACCGCAAACTTCAAGGGAGAAATTATTTATAGCATCACAATCAGCTAAAATTAGCCGAAATGGCATCAATACAAAATTAAAACTTTGGAAGGATGCTTTAGAATCTAAAGGTTTTAAAATAAGCCGGACTTAGACATAGTATATGGAATGCTAGTTTAGTAATAATAGGAGTAGAGACAAGCAAGTAGTTAAGATTGACGACCAAGAAATACCAAAAATAGCACACTTTCAATATCTTGAGTCAAAATCCAAGAAAATTGAGAAATTGAAGAAGATGTCACGCATAAAATTAGAGCTGAATGGGTAAAGTGGGGATGTGCAACTGGAGTTTTATGTCATCGTCGCATACCAATGAAGCTGAAAGGTAACTTCTATAGGACAACTATTAAACCAACTTTGCTTTACAGGGCGAAATAATAGGCAGTCAAGAAAAAACATACCCATATAACGAGTGTAGCTGAGATAAGGATGTTGAAATGGATGAGTGGCAAGACAAGAGGGGAGAATTCGAAATGAATATATTTAGGAATTTAGGTGTGGCACCGATAGGCAATAAGATGAGATAAAATAGACTTAGGTGGGCTTGCCATGTGCAGCACAGACCTAGTATAGAACTTGCTAGGAGGTGCGAGTTAGTTCAAGTGGAAGGCTCAAAAAGGGCAACAGGTAAGCCCAAAAAGACATGATTGGAAGTAGTAAGAAAAGATATGGGGACTTATAGCCTCACTGATGATATGGTCCTTAATAGAGTAGAATGGTGGACCAAGATTCATATAGCCGACCCCAATTAGTTAGGAAAAAGCTCTGATGATGATGATGATTCACAATTGTTGATTTATTCATTGGCAAAAGGGGGTAATTGGGATATATCAAAGGTAAGATTAGTAAACTCGAAAAAATAGATTTGTCACATGAGAATTTGAAAATTAGAATATGATTATAAGGTCCTTGTTATTATACTTTGATAGGGGCTTTCAGTTCCTTTGGATTGCAAGAGAGATTTGGAAATTAGTATACCACTTACTCTTAGAGCAAGAATAGGGCTCGAGTGTACTAACTAAGATAGGAAATCTCCCATCTTCAACATGGGAAGCATTCTCTTGCAGCATATTCTTCCTTATTTTGTGTTACAGCGGAGGAATTGGCCCCAATCAGATGTTTTAGCCAGCCTGTAAGGAATATGAGGAGAAGTACAAGAAGATTGTAGAACATAATCATAATTTTGGGTTCTTGGCTAGATCCCGGGTTTGAATTAGCGAGATATGATCTTTAATCACTTAACAAGGTGCATCCCTTTGTTCAATGCAAGAGAAGTGGAAAAATTTTATGCTGCTTGCTCAAGTAATAGATCGTTCTGGCCATGCCACAAACTCACTACCTCCGAAGAACAATAAGGGTGGATCTCAAGAATTTAGGAAAGGGGGGTTCCAATCAAGGGAATAAAAGTAAGTTTGAAGTGCAATCATTGTGGAAGAAATGGTGATGTCAAAGAAAATTACTAGGATCTACTTGCTCAGCCAATGAAATTCAATAGTCCAGGAGTTTAATGTTCATATTGCTTCGTCCCTTAAGTTCAGCAAGTGGTAGAATTGATTGCCCAATACCTAGTGCAACCCAGACTCCACTTTCTACTATGAAGGAGATGTTAGCAATTCCTAAAGATGAGAATGAGAGCCTCCGCCGATTGTTCACCTGGTTAGATGGCCCATCTACTACTTCATCTTCATCTTTTTCTCACTCAAATATTCATGCTTTTGCTCATCATATTTCTCTTTACATGTCTAGATAGTCCTGGATTATTTATTCCGGAGCATCAGAACATATGACGGGTATGTCTTACTTGTTTTCCTCTTATTCCCTTCATTTTGGTAGAGACAAAGTTAGCATTGCTTATAGATCATTCTCTCCATCGCTGGAAAAGGATTTGAAAATATTCTCCTCAATTGTCATTGTCATCAGTCCTTCATGTTCCTAGTTTCACTAAAAACTTAAAGGTTTGTCAATAGTAGTACTAAGTCTAAATTCTAGTGTAACTCTTTTTTTTCCATCTCACTGTGTTTTTCAGGACATGGATATGAGGAAGACGATTGTCAATGGTCAAGAAACTGGTAGTCTCTACATACCTAATATTATTAATCAAGCTCTTCAGTCTAGTACAAGTGTTTTTAAAGATCGGATTTGGTAGAGGCATCTATAACTTGATCATTTGTCTTTTCAATCCTTGGAAGTTTTGTTTCTTAGCTTGTTTATTTCTACTAGTGTCAAGAGTTTCAATGCGAAGTGAGTGAATTGTCAAAACATTGTAGAAACTCTTTTTGCCCATTACCAATAAAAGCAATGTTCCTTTTCCTATTGTCCATTTTGATGTATGGCGTCAAAGACGAAGTTCATAATATCTTTAAGGTCTTTCGTAAGAACATTTGTACTCAGTTTAAAACCAAAACCAAGGTGCTTACATCTTTTCAAGGCAGAGAGTACCGTAATATAGAGTTGTTGTCTTCTTTAGAAGAACATGGGATAGAATCATAGAATATCAAAATCCCTATTTATACACACCACAAAAAAATGGTATGGCTGAAAGGAATAACAGACATCATTTGGAGGTTTGGCATGCTGTTGTCTTGAGCATGAATGTTCCCAAGAAATTTTGGTATGACGTTATGCTCAATGCATCCTATCTTATTGTGATAATAAGGCAGCTACCAATATAACTACAATCCAGTCCAGCACGATCGCACCAAGAGACGTAGATAGACATTTTATTCAAGAAAGAGGTGCTACCAGAGAAATACACCTTCTATATGTTAAAACAAAAGATCAGCCTGCCAATACTCTTACCAAGGTATTGGGAAACCTCAAATGCAAAAGATCATAAGCAAGTTGGCCATCATTGAGCTTGAGGGAAAGTGTTATAAATGTCAAAATCTTTTGTTTTTAAGTCAGCGAATACTTGTACATCCTTTCCCCATACCTAAGGGGCAGTTATCAAATTTTTATAAATTATCATCTTAAATAATAATAAAAGGGGTGTGTGGGGTGGGGAACCCCAACGTGACTGCCTCATTCATTTCTCCTCTACTCTCTCCACCTTACTTTCTCTATCTTCTAACTATAAATCTCTTCTCTCTCTCTCTCTCTCTCTCTCTCTCTAGGGTCTCTACTTTCTTCTTTTTTTTCCTTATTCCCACTTCTTTTCTTTATTTTTTTTAACTTATACTTCAAAATGAATATTATATCTATGCTGGATATGTTAAAAACATACACGAAATAACCAAAAAGTAATGTCTTAATTGTGTACAAAGCCACATAACCATGCATCACAGCACTAGTTCACTAAGTTGAATGAGGGCTTGCAGAGTTCTTACAAACTTAAAAATATAACGAACTTAGAGTTAGAGGATTAGTCAGAACATAATCATTAACTTCCAAATACAGTCGTTAAGAACCAAAAAAGTGAACAGGAGCATTAGTTACTCACCAGTGCTGAATTTGTGATAAGGATGGTCTTTAGCACTTAAATGCTTTTGTAGCTGAAACAACATACTAGGCAAATAAATCATCACCAGCAAAAACAAGAAATCATAAATCCTTCATAAGGTAAACTAAGCACAAAAGAGTAAAAGAACAAAATAGCAACCTATAATAGTTTCAACCAAAGATAGAATAATATAAGGATCCTCAAAAGGCAAATCAAATATTTTCTAATGAACATGATTCAATAGACCTGGCCTACACTTTTGTTAGGCATTCCTACAATCTTAGCGATAAGTCATTTACAACTTCATCCAGTCACCAGCATCCACTTCTAAATCCATGTGTTTTTGTTTGACCCGACAGCCAAGACCAACGTTCTAAAACTCGGCAGAGGCAACTCGGACTTGGCCAAATAACTTGGCCTCAGCCTATGGGCGAGGCGAGTTAGGTGTACACAATATTTTCAAATGTTAAGTATAATATTGCTGCAAATTCACAACAGATATGATAGAACGGTTTAGTGGTTAGCTCTAACAATTGAACTTTACCCCAATCAAGGTTCGATTACCACCTGTCACCCTTTTTAAACACATCATTTCATTGAAACGTCACATTTTTTTTAACACATCATTTCGTTGGTTAGAAAAAAACAGTTGCCCCGAGAATCGAGCTCTAAACCTCTTATAAAGAGGTCCTTTACTATAAGGAGCACTAACCAGCACACCATTCCTTATTTTGTTGATAAAAGAGGCACTTATAATATATATAACCATTATTTTTCTTCTTTTTCTTTTAAAAAAAATGAGCTGGACTCGAGCGAGTTACTCGGACTCGCCCGAGTAACTCGCCTCAGCCAAGTCCCAAGTACCTTAGCCGAGTCAATTTTTTTAACATTGGCCAAGACTATGGTGATTGCAACTCCAAGATTGCATATCTAGAACAAGAGTCTTCCAAACAAGCACAAAAAGCTTATTTTGCTTCCCACAAACATTTCCCAACTTGTGATTGCATTGAAAGCCAAAACGATAATTTCAATAAAATCAAACATTTCATTTAACCAATAACTTGGAACAAAATCAAAATTCCTGCCAGCTCCTCCAGAATTACTATTCAATAATTATGAGGCCAATTCAATGTTCATGAGCTCTGCATTAAAACTAAAAATTAAATTTTTAAGGGCATTTTCTTTTTCACTAAGGTTAATCTGCACTTTCTAAAGGTTAGTATTCACTGTCTAATGAAACACAAAAAATACACCATCCAAATCAAATATACATCAAATAATACACAGAATGTTCATATAGAAAGTAAATGAAGAAATAGTGACCTGATACATTCGCCAAGAATCTGATAACAGATTTTTTTGATTCTCTGAATAAAGAAAAGCCAAACTCAGAAAAAGACATGCAACTCAGAGATACGTCAACAGCATCTGAATTTCTGAATAAGTAATGTAATTATCAAATCAAAAGTTGCAATATGTACCAGAGTCAACAGCTTTAATCTCCCTCATCGTTGCATCAGGAGACATCAAGGGATTGATAAAGAACTGAGCAAATCTGAAATCACCCATCCCAAGACAAAAATAAGCAAAAATATGACAATAATTTACGAAAACAAAATAAAAGGAAACACTGAAGCAACATCAATTGATGCAAAAAGCACCTAGAGAAATTACAGAATAGTCAAACAATAGCATACCTATCCAACGCCTCCTCAAAATAATCACAATTAACATCAAATTGAAAATTTGTGTGCTCAGAAGCAGTGAAAGCATTTGCGTGGCCCCCATGCTGAACACCTCTCGAGTCAAAAAGCAATAGATTCAAATTATTAACACTACAGAATATGAGAAAAATATATAACAAGGACAAAGAGAACAGACTTTAGTTCACTACAAAAGGAATGTATATATCAATGCAACTATTATCACGAATTAATGAGGTAAAGAAACAAAACAAAACCATAGGATCACTCTGATTATTTAAAATCAGACTGTGATTAATAAAACATCAAATTGTGCTATCCATGGCATTATTACCAACAAAACATCTCGCATTAAAAAAAAAAAAAATGGTAGCATTATAGAGATCATTGTCCAAATTTTTGCCAAGGACAAAGGCTACAAGCAGTGTACTGTGTGTTGGGTTTTGTGGCTTTTAAAGGCCTAGAGAGCTTATAAAAATAATATATATAGTGGAATATGCACTTCAATAGGAGTGTGTATTGTGATTGACCATGGGTTGGGCCGTTTATAGCCCCGGGCATGTGGCACTACCGAAAAAGGTTTGCAATGGGTCATCCCTTGTTGAAGTCGAATAGATGCCCAAGGATCATGTTTGTAGGTCAGGAGAACTATGTGATCTCCTATGTGAAGTTGTAGGCCTGTGAGAGCAAAGGTCAAAATCCTCAACAAACTTCTGTACCGCATGTACACATGACAATTGCATAGGAAGCAGACCTTTAAAGGGACACGTGTATATGTACAATGAGAGAACCTCCTTTTGCACTGTAGTAACAAGTGCTAGACTTGCTCTTAAAGAGGGGAACTGTAATCCACATTTCAGGAACATAGTACCACCGTTTTATTATCCAACTTTGACAAGCCAATCAAGAGCCCCTGCAAAGAGACTGTAGGTCATGAGACTTTATTGGGTTGGATAAGAGAACATTTGTGGATCATGTTTCTGGGATGAGTGGAATGCCCTTAGTGTCGCTTATTTTGACCCATTGGTACAAGTCCACTCCTAATATATTTTATTTTCATATATAAATATTTCTTTGATTATTAAATATTTGTTTAGAGTTCTAAAACTATTTCTGCTATATATTTTCATAAAAAGGTATTTCTGAAAATTTCAGAACTTTAAATAACACATGTAGGACCAAAGATCCAACCCCACATATGAGACCACGTGCACCCTAGGGATCACACCCTATTTTTGTACAGCATAATAGTGGCACGCCATTATTTATGGAACAAGGGGGGCACACCCTCTTTTAATATTTTATATTGTTTAAAATACTTTAAAAAGATGGCATTCCACCTTCTTAGGAAGAAAGGGGTTGGGGGCATGCCACTATTTTAGCAAAATAGTGGCACGCCATTTTAAGGGAAGTAGGGGCACCCAATTTTTGATAAAAAGGTTTTTTTTAAAAGTGAAAAATGCCATGCTACTTTTGTGTGGCATATTACCCCAAGCCACTTTTTGAGAAGTAGTCACGCCCCAAAATTTTGTTTTAGTTTAAATTAATTTTAAACTAACATGAGAAATCTAATGAGATATGGTTTCCTGTGGGCAATCTAGATTAGATTTATCTAGAAAATATTTGAGTTTGATTTCAAATTTAAAAAGGATAAAGTTTAAATTTGATTGGTTTTATTTTAAATAAGAGTGGATTGAGTCAAAGTGTAAGGGGATAAGGTTTCTAATTCATCCACCCAAAATCATGATGGCTGATTTTTGGGATGGATGGCTCTTATACCAATGAAAGGTGTGGCTATGTGCAACTCAAGGTATTAAATTTTTTTGAATTCAATGCCTTGAGTTCCACATAGCCACACCTTTCACTGTGAATCACCTGAGTCGATTTAGACTCGGGCGAGTAGCGAGTAAGGCTGAATTTCTCCCAATCAGGTAACAACTCAGGAATATAAAAAAGAAATTCTAAAAAAAAATAAAAAAAGTGGGATTGTTTTATAATCTTTTTGTATATGATTGAGATGTATTTGGCAAAGATTGGTGAGTGTTTTTTATCCATAATCAATATTTTTATTTTTTTCTCCTCGTTTAGAATTTTTAAAATGTCCGAAACCATAAATCTATTTTTTTTTTAATCCATTTTTCCATACATTTTTAAGCTTGTTTTAAGCTTTTAAAGTTGTTTTAGGATTCAATTTACTTTTTCTACAAGTTTTTTTAGTTTTTCAAAAAAAAAATTATTTTTTATTTTTTTAAGGGTCAAAAGGCCTAGTACTGGACTCGACTGAGTCCTTTGAGGACTCAGCAGAGCAATTCACCTAGGCCAAGGGGCAAGTCCCCTGGTCAAGGCAACTCCCAACACACTGGCTACAAGTTATCATTACTCATAGGAAACCTTTCTTTCACAAAACTAGTACAACTCATGAATGAGTTTAAAAAGCTAATACAGAAGTCAAGGGAGATTGAGGTTGACAAATAAGTCCACTAGGCACATGGGACATAAGGAGATGCTTCACTAACTTTCTCAGAAAACAGCCACATTATACAATTGAATTTGTTGATGCCATGCTGAAGTATAGGATGCCAAGTTGCTTTTCAGATAATGCACAACTAGCACAAGATCGCGCCAAAATAATGTGAGAGAGAGAGAGAAAGAGATAGAGTGGGGTGACGAGAGACAGGTATAGAGAGAGAGAAAGAGAGATCCGGTTTCTAAAGCATGCAAGATAAATTTCACCAAAAAAACCATGATTCATTTAAAAAAATGGAACAATCACCATAGAATAATTCAAGAGGGAAAACTCGACACTCTTATGAAGGAATATTAACGGATACCTCTGTTATGTACTTCATATAGCTGTCCTCCAATGGATATTTCTCACTTGCATAAAACAACATATGCTCTGAAAGGAAAAAAAACAAAAATCATATAGATCAACATCATGTTTCAAAGGCCCTATTTAGAAAAGCAGCACATATTAAAAATGGTTTGTATACTATGACCCAAATATATTTCAACAGTATGTCTATTGGGTTATCACCATCACATCAATGTGTTGAATGATGATTGTGGGACAGTTGACCATTCTCTTGTATTGAGAATGAGTTTAATGGCCCACTTCCCCATCGTCACCATCCCCCATCAATGTGACACTGATGACTCTGTACAGTCGTACGTCAATATGGATATTATAAAGTAACCTATTTAATCATATAAAGTCCAAGAAAAACAATCGCCGGGGCCTACTTCCCCATCATCACCATCCAACCCATCAATGTGACACTGATGACTCTGTAGAGTCGTACAGTCAATATAGATCTTATAAAGTAACCAATTTAATCATAATAAAGTCCAAGAAAAACAATCATCCAGAATTACATATGATATGACAGCTCAATCCAGATTTGAGACAACAATACAGTGAAAATAGCAATTTCGTTATACCACATACACATAGTAATGTGCCAGTTCATAAGATAATTGCTAATAAATGCAATATGTTTAGATGTTATAGATACCACAAGTCCATCATATACCCCCATGCTCTGCACAGTTGAGATGAGTTCAAAGCTTTCTTGCAGCAAAGATAAATCTTCACCCAAATGAGCAATTTACCATTAAACTAAATGAGGAATAACATAAAAAGACCTAACATATAAGAAATATTCAAGTCATTATTTCTCTAATCAGCAACACCCTCATGAACAATAATTATAGTGATACTACAATAATGTTATGTCTTAGTTGATGTCAAAACCATCATCATTAAGGATTTTATGTGTCTTTACCATCATTTTCCACGCAAAATCCAGATCCCCAAATGCATAGAATCACAGCCATGATCATTATATATAGGTTCATTAATTGGGTTTCAGGATATCCAAAATTAGTTTGCTCAATTCATTACCATAGAAACCTTGAACAACCAAGAAGGAAATCATGAATTTCACAGGCCAACACCTATACCGCCATCCAATCAGGGAGACTGCTATCTTGCCCAAGAAGCAATAACAAGGAAACATTCCCTTCGAAGCAAACTACTCAATGCTACAAAGTTTGAATCGAATCTCAATGAAAGGTAGCTAGCGATGGAAAAATAACATCCTAAAGGGGAAATCACAGCAAAATCTTTAAACATGTGAAAGTGCTCTAAACTACAATAATTATTGAGCTCGTACTGTCACTTACCAAGAAAGTGAGCCAAGCCTTCAAGACCCTCAGGATCACTAAATGATCCTACATTAACATCCATTGCAGCAGCACACTACATCACCAAACAAGCAATCAGCTATACCCAAAGGAGATAGGAAGCATCAGTGGAATGTAGACCGCTTTATATTTCTGTATAGTGTAAACTTAAAGGAAGAGATTAAAACAAAATTACAAGTTACTGCTCAAAATTATTCATCAGAATGATAAGATAAATAAGTTTAACGGTACAGTTTAGCAACCAAAAATATGGATCATATGACATAGCATCAAATGATATTTCCTAAAGACTTCAACTGTCAACAGAGAAAGGAATTCTTTATGCAAGAGAAGAACATCGATAAAAAAGCCAAAACGCTTTGATAATATTAAATTCCCTTTAGAAAAATTTCTTCTTCTGATTTCAGTTGTGTCAATCACATGTACAATTGTCAAAAAAATTACCTTTACACGAAACTTGAGATATTAATAAGGGCAGGAGATGAACGAACACTTGACCTCTATGTATAGAATCATAACTTCATCAAATATCAAAGTATTGTAACCAAGATACAACCAAATGCACAGAATCCCAAACTTTGTGCAGTATCAATTTTCACATTAGTAAGGGAAAAATCACACTTCAAATAATATAGACAAAAACCTATGTATAAATAAATCACACAAGATGTTTGCTAAATTCTAAAACAAGGCATCACAATAGATCTCAAACAGTTGTACAAGAGCTTCTACACTTCAGCACAACGGAGGAAAATTGAAGAAAGAGTACTTATCAAACAATTCTAGATGAAAAAAAAGACAGATACAGAGCGGAAATGGATATAGGGAAGAGATTACACAAAAGTCATAAAACTGGATTTAATGGTGGGAAATTGACCTTGTCAGTGTCTGGATCACTGATAAGGAGCACTTCTAAAGAGTTGGAGAGAACAATCCTCCTATACTCTCTCTTATCAATGCGAGGCTTCAAAATCTCCACTCTTTCATTTCCTCTCAAATCTCCTCCATTAATTGAGTGCTCCATTTTTTTTCTCAACTTTGGTTGCAGAATGCAGAGAGAAAAGCTTGTTAAGACTTCAGAGAGAAACCAGGTTCCTATGCGCCCTCGTACATGCCCTCACAAACACAGAGAGAAGTTTGAATTGTCTTCACCCCATCGACGAGGCAATTCTTTATGCCAAAATATTCCATCCTCCCGAGGGAGTATGTTGTCCATTTATCCCTTCAGGGAAAATCTAATTTAGAAGCATTTTTAGAACTTTAAATTTTGGGATATAATCTCTTCAACACCTATATTATATACTCAATAAAAAATAAAAAAAAATTTAATTTGCATTCTTTATGGCTTGAATAGTGCCTCAAGATTGAATAAAACCATCAAATTTAAGAAGGACGAGATTTAACTATTTGAAAAATTAAATTTTAAAATTTTATTTTAATGTAATTATCTAGTGATTTTTAAGTAAGGGTGCCGTTTGTATAGGACCTAGGCTCTAAACAATCAAATTAGAGCCTACCTTCAAATAATGTCGAGAAATGTAGTTTCAATACTGAAAGTCTTTCTGATAACCTTAAAACATATTTTCATATTATTTATAAAGTTTAAAACTTGAAATATAATGTAGATCGACAGATCTATAAAAACTTGAAAATCTTAAAAATTGATGGTCCTAAAATGCATTAGAAAATACACTATTTCCAAAACTTGAAATATTTTTTTTTTTCATGTCCATACATGTTGATGCCGAGATGAACAATTTGAAGATATTTGGGCATCAAAACAACCTTTTTCCAATGAAATTTATGTGGTAGGCTCCAATTTTATTGTTTAGAGCCTCGGCTCTAAATGAACTTTTCCCTTTAAGTAATTCTCAAAATTTTGGAGTATAAGGATCTTTCCAAGTTAGTCTTCTTCCTAAGGGACTAATCTCACAGTATACTCCTACAGGAGCACAGCATGGCATGGTATATGGGCTCATTACTTGCTGGTCCACTGAGGGATTACATTATATACCATCCAACACGGATGGAGTTTCAATAAAGGCAGTACTTTTTTTTTTTTGTTTTTTTTTTTTGGTAAGTAAAGGCAGAGACTTTATGAAAGCAAATGAAAGCCTCACCACGAATCCTCGTACAAAAGCATTTTCGGCATCGAAAATTTTCGGCTCTAAAAACAATTTTCATTTGCAACTTAAAAAATATATAGATCTTGATATGTGAACACTCTTTTTTAGAGTGAAATGTAAGGTCTATGTAATAAATAATATAGAGTGTTTTTAGGGCTTTAAATCTTTTTTTTTTTTTTCATGACTATAGTGGTCGAGATTATCTATTTTAAGGTTTCCGATCCTAGAGCGGTAATCCAATAATTTTTTATATGAGACTTAACTTATTTTGATAGGCTTGCAACACTATTTAAACATTTTCCTTCTTTAAATAAAAAAATAGGCTGTTTAGTCTAACCCATTTAGAAGTAGAGAGGAGAATACTCTCCCTCTCTCCATAGGGAAGGGAGGACAAATGTCTCCATCTTTCTAAAGATTTCATTAAAACTCTGCCCATAGCACACAATGTGATTCCATGTAAAGCTATGGAATATTCATCCTCTTTTTAACAATTTAAAAAGTGAGACTCCAACATAAATACTAAGGCATATTTTTATTTTCATTCTAGTAATAAAATAATATTTTTCTACAAATCTCTCAACTTAGGACCTTATTTTAAAATTCATGCATGATTGACCAAATTATAATATATCTGTTATTTACCAATTTGTAATGTGTTTCTCTTTGCTCCAAAAAAAAAATATTGTAATATGTTTCTCACATAGCAGAAAAGGAGGCACCCCACAGGAAGAAAAACGGATGCTTCGCACCTTTAAGGAGACATTGACGAGACTTGACTTGACATGGTGACCTTCCTCTGCCATTGTACTAGAGGGAAGAGAAGTGTCCACGGGTGGCATAGGCTCCTCCCCTAGAGCAAACTGTTCATTTAATCCCTCGGGCAAGATAAGTGTAGGAGCTTAACCGGCCAGGCCGATGTGAGTTACTCGCCCGAGTCTTGCTCAATGCCAAAAGGAAAAAACTTATATAAGAATGCAATCTTATAATGTTGAACTACGGATGCACCTCAAAAATCCACCAGAAAAAGTAGTTTTAATATTGAAAAACCCTTTGATTGATCATCTCAACATCGAGATGTATAACCATGAAAAATAAAAAGATTTTTAGTCTCATAAATAGTGCATTTTACAACACATTATCTATACTATCAATTTTCAAGATTTTCATATGTTTATAGATCTATTTGATTTTAACCATTTTTTAAATTTAAAATTTTATAATTAGATATAAAAATAGATTTTGAGATAATCGTAATAACATTTTACATCAAAATTCTGTACCACGATAAATTTTGAAAGTGCACCTTACCTCTACAGCTACAGCTGTATCTGTATGCCAACTACACCTATGCCAAAAAGGCTCAAGTAAAATTTAAAAATAAAAATTTGAAAAATAAAAGAAAGATTTTAAAAGTAAAATAAAACTAAAAAACCTTAAAATTTTAAATAAGCTTAAAAAAGTACGTAAAAATTCGATTTAGAAAAATTAATTTATAATTGGGAATATTCAAAAAATCCAAACAAAAAGGAACGTATAAAAGAAGGGATTATGGCGCAAAAAAAAAACTCACCAATCTTTACAGTAAACATCTAATCATATACAAAAAGTTTATATAATATTGCCATATTTTTACAATTTTTTGGATTTTCTTTTTATGTAGCCGAGTTGAGCACACAACTTGGGGTAACCTGCTCGAGTTACTCACCCAATCTAGGTGGACTCATGCGAGTCCTGTAACACTGATCTGAAGTAATTTTACGTTCATATGTACTAAGAATTTTGGACGGTCGAGGTTCAATCTAGGGCATGATTCTTTTCAAGTACTTCTATAGCATATGAAAAATCTCCATTTTCTATAGATTTATAGGTAGATTGGTGGGTCCAAAAAATGCTCCTAGTCCATGTTTTGGTCATGTAAGCAAATGCGCATTTTGCTCCTTCGAGGCATTGAAATACTTGCGTTTTAGAGTATTTTGTGCCTATGTACTATATTCCTAGGGGAGCAACTTGTACACATGCTCCCTAGAGAAAAATACTTGGGAGGACTTTTAGATATGAGATTTTAGGAATCACTTTGGAAGAGTAATTTAAAAAAGGTTGTGGTTTGTATAAGATCTCAACCTTAAACAATCTAATTAAGACACACCACCAAAAGCTCATCGAAAAATATAATTTTGGTGTCGAAATTTCAATAATGACTTAAAAAACTAGTTTACATCTAACCTAAGAAAAAGAGTTCACACTCTAAATCTGCCTAGAGAGGTTCATACCTAATAATTGAAGATAAGCCATCTAATTTTTGGATGATTCGATCTAGGGTTTAGGAAGTTGAGGTTCTTTGTTCTTTCATATGAAAATGCTCATCTTGGCGAATATAAAGTGATTTCAAAATGCTAGATCTAGCAAATCCTCATGAATATGGTGTTTTTCCTGGGGAAGCACCTCTATAATTTGCTCCCATGAGTATATAATCTTATTCTTCACAAATCCTCATGAATATGGTGTTTTTACTGGGGAAGCAACTCTACAATTTGCTCCCATGAGTACATAATCTCATTCTTCTTTCCCTTTTTTAAGGCACCGATGGAGCAAAGTACATACTTGTTCCCGCGAGCGAAAAAGAGGATCTATTTATAGGGCGCTGTTTGCATACGGATGCATCCGTAGGTGTTAGGTGCACTTTCAAATTTTATAATGGTATATAATTTTGATGTAAAATATTTTTAGGATTATCTTGAAATCTATTTTTGTACCTTATTATAAAATTTTAAATTTTAAAAATGGTTAAAATCAAGTAGATCAATAAACATATGAAAATCTTGAAAATGGATGGTGTAGATAATATGTTGTAAAATACACTATTTCTTATACTTAAAATCTTTTTGTTTTTCATCGTCATACATCTCGATGTCGAGATGATCAATCAAAGGGTTTTTCAACATTAAAACTACCTTTTCTGTTGACTCTTTAGGGGCATCCGTAGTTCTACATTATAAGGTAGCACCCTTATATAAACTTTTTCCTTTATATAATTGTCATTATAATATTGGAATAGATTAATAATAATTTGTTAAAATTTTAAGAGTACTACACAATAATATTATTTACTACTAATGAAACTATAAGCAATGTCATTATAATAAATGGAGAATTATATTAATTTTATTATGATAAACCTATAATAAATATGTTTCACCATTTGTTTTTATAATTATCTAAAATTTATGATATCAACCAAAAATAGCTCCAAAAAAAAGAAAATCTACAAATCAGTAGGAGCGGTAGTAGTAGTAATAGTAGTAATAATAATAATATCCGTATTAACAATATTGTTAATACTCATATTGATAAATGATTAACTTTGTAATAAATGATTAACATACAAATGGGTATGCTTCCATGCATACGGTTGCAATGCTTATCAAGCGAATGTTTGGCATACATTTTAAAGTTAGTATAAATGGTTATAAATATTTATAAAAAATTTATCCATGCAAACATTTCTTCATATACAATGGTATTGGAGGTCTATAATATAATGGAAAGGCTTTCTATGTTCTCCCTACACCCCCTTAATCCAACCGTCCATTTTTTAATGGAGGGCTAATATTGCTCCAATCACAATGTCATGTTTGTATACTATTTTATTTTTAATTTTCTTTCTATAAACTATTTTGACACAAAATTTTAGACGTCCATTCCTCTATTAAACTCGTACTAATGAAAAATATAAAAAAAAATATTTTCAATTAAATAAAATGACCAAAATACCCCTAAAAGTTTCAAGGGGTATTTTGGTCATTAATTTTTTATCGGAAAATTATGTTAATATTTTTCTATAAGTGTGCCCCAATGAGAAGATGGCACATACCAATTTTCATATTCAAAAAGCTAAAAATAAAATACTTTGAGACGTCGGATCTAAGATCAAATGGTGATTGGCTCTCTGGATCAAAATTGGATGCCTGGATGATCGGGGGAGGATCGGACTTCTATGTTTAACATACACTTTAATGTTAGTATAAATGGTTATTAATATTTATAAAAAATTTCTCCATGCAAACATTTCTTCATATACATTGGTATTGGAGGTCTATAATATGAAGGGAAAGCTTTCTATGTTCTCCCTACAACATAGAAGTTCCATCCTCTCCCGTATCCAGTCATCTATTTTTTAATGGAAGGCTAAGATTGCTCCAATCACAATGTCACATCTCTATACTGTTTTTTTTTTTTTTATAAACTATTTTGACACCAAATTTTGGATGTCCATTCCTCTATTAAACTCGCACTAATGAAAAATATAGAAAAAATATTTTCAATAAAATAAAATGACTAAAATACCCCTAAAAGTTTCAATGGGTATTTTGATCATTATTTTTTATCAAATAATTATTGTTAATATATTTTATAAGTGCGCCCCAATGAGAAGATGGTACGTACCAAATTTCATATTCAAAAAGTTTGTATTAAAAAGAACCTAAAAATAACAACAGATCTAAGATCAAACGGTGAGTGACTCTCTGGATGATAGGGGGAAAGATAAAACTTCTATGTTTAGTATACACTTTAAAGTTAGTATAAATGGTTATAAATATTTATAAAAAATTACTCCATGCAAACATTTCTTCATATACATTGGTATTCGAGGTCTATAATATAAATATTTGTGTTATAATAACCACTTTAACACTCCTCATTAGTGCACCTCAAGATTAATGCACCTCCACAATTTTTTTATCGATTAGTAAACGACACTTTATTTTAATAGTAATAACCTCAATTAACACAAGATAACGACAAAATTGGTATTATCAAAAAATAAGAAGGATAAATTAGGAAGCGAAAAAGACACTTGGTGCAAGAAGAAGAGCGGTCCTCCTCTCGTTTTATATATAATAATAAATAGATAATAATCAATAGATATAGAGAGAAACAAAGGAGGAGGATACAATTCAATTTTGATTGAACAGAAAGAGAGGGAGCCGAGATTTCCATAGTTGATATTTTTGGCAGTGGAAAAACTGTTTCTTTCGACAATGGTGAAATGAATTTCATCGATCTCTTAAAATTTATTTGTAACTTGATGTGTAATTAATCATTAGCCAAAAGGCCGAGAAAGGTATCAAAATGTATGTACATTGTGGGGACCTTATTTTGATAAACCCTCCTCTTGTTCCCATTTTTGAAGGAAATGGGTAGATACGCTGTCCCCCTTCTTAAATATGAAGGAAATGGGTAGAAGATTGAACCTTTTTCTCCAAGGGCGAAGGGGCGAGTATGCTATGCTCATGAGGGAGCATAGTGTGTATTGAGTCTTTAGGTTAGACGACCTACTTGGGAGGATTTTTTCTATCTGAAATTTTGGGAACTGTTTAAAAAATCATTACATGATTATTTTCAAAATAATAAAAAAAAAACTTGAATTTTGAGGTTTTTTAGCACTTACCTCTCACACTCTAAAAATTGGGTCGTCTCTATTCATTACAAATGCATAGAGGATGCAATTAGGAAATATTATCTTATTTATTTATTATTGAGGTTGAGGTATGGAATGAAGGCTACATCCCAAAAATATGAGGTACTAAAATTAATAATAGATGAGGTTTTGACCCAAGGGAGTAACTAAAAGGTATACACTGGCCGGAGCATAATATCTTTTGGCTTTTTCCAATATGCTTTCCCTGGTTTTATTGTGCAATGTTGTCTTAATTGCTTTGGAAACTGCTATACTTGTGAAATTTTTTGGAAAGTACCATATTCAATCAAATGTAGTTTACATGTTCGTTGGTCAAAGGTTTCCATTACAAGTTCTTTTCTAGGGTTATGTTATAGAGCATTGTATAAATGTACTCAATAAATTTTAGATACTTATATATATATATATATATATATATATATATATATATTTATTTATTTATTTGTATATGAATTAGTTTTTAGTAATGATATTTTTGTTATTAAGAGGGGTGTGACACCATCCACATAAGTGTGACATCACCCATATAGAGCATACTAGTGACATTTAATACTTCATGTGGTGATGTAACACCTCTCCTAATGACAAAAAATACACTCACTAAAAAATATATTGTATTACAAAACAAATAATATGTTTAGAGGAGTCACGAGTTAATATTAAAAAAAAAAAATTCGCAGGGTCACCATCATCCAATCATTAGATCTACGATTGAATGAGTGGATCCCTCTTAATATGTCCCTCTTTTGATAATTCAAGAGTAAGAATCGAGCTTAGTAAATTTAGGGTTAAGAAATTGAGCTTGACATTAGTATTAAAATCATCAATACCTTATGGTTGCAATTTTAAAATGTAGAATTAAAGATGTGCCTCAAAAATCCATTAGAAAGAGGTGTTTGAATGTTAAAAACCCTATAATTGATCATCTTGATATCGAGATGTATGGATATGACCCAAAAAGAAGATTGAGTCTAAAAAATAGTGCATCTTGTAATACATTATCTAGATCGGCCATTTTAAAGATGCTCATAGATCTACTTGATTTTAACCATTTTTTGAGTTCAAAATTTTCTAATTAGATATGAAAATAGATTTTTAGATAATCCTAATAATTTTTTACACCAAAGATAAAATTTGGAGGAGCGCCTTAATTGGATTGTTTAAGGTTGCAGCCTTATATAAACCACACCCATACGTAAATTCAATGGGTTAAAAATCGCCGATGTGACCCAACTCTTTGAGTCAGATCAAGATCAAGAGGTAGGCAATTCCAGTTTGAGGAACCCCGAAATCACCCAATTCTCTTGGTTTTTTATTCTTTTTTTCTTTGTATTGTATATACGATCTGTGTTTGCAAAACCGACTGATTTAACCGCTAACCGCCCGATTAAATCGAAACTGATTAGTGCCTGTTTCCAGTTTTGGGTAGTTTTGGTGATTAACTGGTATTTTAAACTTTAAATAGAATACTACTTCAAATTCACATAAGATATATTAAAATAGTTTATTGGTTGACTCTGATGATTAAGTTTTATTTCAATTACGGTTCGAATCCCGTTGCTAGCAGCGTTTTTTTTTTTTTGGACTTCAAAAGAGTTTCGAATCCTGCCGCCCACGGCTGTTTTTTTTAAGACCTCATTTTTTTGGGCTTCAAAAAAGATTTTTTTTTTTTTTAAGACTTTATTTTTTTGGACTTCAAACGAGTTTCAAATCCCACCGCCAGCAACTTTTTTTTTTAAGACTTCACTTTTTAAGACTTTAAAAGAGTTTAAAAAAATTACCTCGAACTAAAAACCTCTTATAAAGAGGTCCTTTAATATTAGATGCACTAACCAATACACCATTTACTACTTGGTTGGCAAAAAGAAGGGCCTATACCATATATATAACCTATTTTTTCTTCATTTTCTTTTAAAAATAAAAGAGTCGGTCAAATTGATTTTTTCAACATTGTTTTAATATTCTTTACATTATGGTAAAGATTAAAAATTGTTTTGGTCATTAATACTTACTTTTATATTTTCCCATCTTTTTTATAAAATTTTAAAAATATCCCTAGACACAAATTGATTCATTAAAATCTATTTTTTTTAATTAATTTTCAACTTCTTTTGAATGTGTTTTGTTTTAATCATTCTTTATATGCTTTTCATATTTTAGTAGATTTTTTTTTGTAACTTTCTTAACACTTTTTTGACCATCCGGGACTTGCCCGGTTAGAGTAGTTGAATCGGCCGGTTTACCAGTTAGGCCGGTTAAAACCGCTTCCAGACCCATATCCAGTTAACCGTTCCAGTTCGATTTTGAGAACACTGTATACGACCATCTGACTCAAGAAAAGCCCAAAATGTATTGGTCCAATTTTTAAATCACTACGGTAAGTAATGAAGCCCAAGCTCAATTCCTATTTCCTACTTAATTATTCATTAAATCAATTGTACGCACCATTACGCCATCACCATCAAAGCCATTGACTTGATTGTGATGAACCATATGGCTATATTGTTATCATGATCGGTTAGTATGGGTGCTATCTTTCCCTCTCTCTGGACCAAAAAAACGGAATCATAGTAATCGCCACCTTGTATTCATGCATGGCATGGCAGAATCCTCCATTTTCTTTATTTTGTTCATCTTTTATCAGTCCCAAGTAATTTATTTTACATCATAAATAAAAACATGTCTGTTTTATTGGCTGAAAGTACGAGCAAAGCACAATTTCACACACCAAGAGCTCACTTCAGAGAACCATATAGAGGTTGGGATCTTCTGAACGAGAAAATATCATTAATACATTTCGACCCACAACTGTTCTCTTTCTGTTTCGCTGCTTCATATTCTGAAGAATGTAATTTTCCATACACCTGTATACTCAGCTTCTTCCTCCGAGGGGCCCCAACTTTGATATATATGTCGAAGAAATCAATCATATCTTCCTGTGTCAATTCTCTAATTGCACCAACCTGTTTAAAAATAGCTCAGTAAGAAAATTGATCAGAACACTGATGTAATGGAATTTATCCATCATAAAGAATTTATAGCTGAAAGACAATTGGAATGCATCATACTGGTTTTCATCAGAAGTATACCTCGTGTTCCACCCGGTCAAACTTGAGTGTTCCCCTCTCAATTTCTATCCAGAAAAATTCTGATTCCTCTGACAAGTTCTTGTGTTTCTCAAGCTTCATGTCAATCAATGAGTTTTTGTTTCTCTGGGAATTAAAAATTGCATAAGAACCTTGACAAGAATACTGAAGTTTAAGGTTCCAAAATGCATAATTGGCACATGCTCAGAAAAAGAAAAAAAAGAACTCAAATCCATGAGTCTCTCCAAAATTGCACCAATGGACAGGGTTTTATGTTAATGCAATTCACACACCATATGGATGTTGCCAATTGAAAAGGTAAAACAAATTTGTACAAATCCTTATTTAGAGCCCTGTTGTGCCATAATCATGAGTGAAATCATTGGTTCTTTTACTCTTAATACGAGTAGAGATAGGTTTGTAGACAGTGATTCATGAAAAATAATGTGAGACCCTGGTACTATATGAATTAGCAAAAGGTTTTAGGATTCAAAATTGCTTCTTCTCATTACATTTAGATTGTCATTTCCATGAATAGTCCAATAATCAATTCAATAACCTATGAGTCAGTCCAGACAGAGCAATTACTTATCTATCAAGATGCCTCATTTTCCTAAAAAATAAAAAAAGAGGCGTACTTTCTGTTTTTTGAAGCTCACTTTAGATAACCGAGCTCAAGCAAATGGGGCAGAGAAAGGCTCCAGGTTAGCAGGAGCAAGCCAAACTTCTGCTTTTTATGCTTTCAACAGGTGGAGTGACGGAATTACATCAACTAAGTGGTCAGTGCAAACTGGGGCCTATATCTACCCGGTTATAGAGAGAAATTCTGCAGAATACTTTTATTTTTGCTGTATTTGAAGTGTGAATATCAAATCCGTAATATTCCATGCAGAATTTAGTGCAATTAGAAGTCAACCTCTTCCCTATTGAAGTGCCTTAAAAACGTACAACTAGAACAATCAAGCAAAGTCAAACAAGATTGCTTTTTGATAGACACATTATTTTACTCCTTGAGCGGTACTTCTTCTCACTTTTATATGTCATCTTCCTTTTGATCAACTATCGCATGCCCATGTACCACAACTGATGAGAAAGGATCTAGACACACACGAACACATATCACAGTCTGTTGCCCATTATAGACAACATGTGATCATGAGCATCTATAAGCTCAACATTACTATATTCAGATGATGCATATATCAATTCACTAATTTGGAAATTCATACATGTAAGTACTAACTTCGCTACACTTAGAGAAACAGATTGACATGTAACTATGAGTAACATAGAGAACAACAACTTAGTCAAAGGCACGTTATCACTCTTTCAGTAAGACAGAATTTATCACTCTTTAAGGAATCAGGAAAATGAATAACATTCAAAAAGTGAATCATTGGTATTGAGGTCCAAAGAAAGCAACGAATTCATGAATAATGTCATGTGTAATGATTTAGAATATTCGAATCATGTTGTAAAAATGGGCCTTAATTGGAGACCATATGATGCATGCCCCAGAAATAATTAATCAATGCAAAAGGGAGCAATACTGAAATAAACTTACAATAAAGTCATCATTTGACATTGTATAAAGCTGAGTTTCAAACATTTTGAGAAATGCCTCAACTCTCTCATCTAGTTTTTCTGGGTCCTGCAATTATCAAATTTCGATTTTACAAGGGGACAACTAAGCCACAAGTTTTGAAAGAAGCGAGTAATGCTCAACTACCTTTACTATGGATTGAATAATAATCTGCACTCCTTGGATTCCTGAATCATTCCTGCATTTTACGTCACTGTTGAGCTGAAACTGAATTGATGAAAACCTACAATGGAATTCGTGAAATGGTATTCTCTCAAACCTTTTCATTAGGAATGTAATGTATCCAAGCTGCTCAACAGATCGAAGCTGATGAAAAGCTGGCTGCTTTGCGATGAGGACAAAAAGCTGGAGTTTCACATTCAACTTAAAATCATCTCGACCAACCTTAAAGATTTCCAAAACAAGCAGCTGTTAGCTCTTGAATGATGAAAATTCATATATTTGGGGTACATAATTTTAACAAATAAGCACTGTTGATGAGAGATTAATAACATAATATCACAGTCACAAAAAAAGAGTCTCCAGAAACTACATTGACTTGGTGAGAGATATGTACAAGGGAGCGCTAACTACTATACAAACAATTACTGGAGAGACGAGTGAGGTTTTAGTAACAATAGGTCAACATCAGGGGTCATCATTGAGCTTATACCTCTTTGTCTTAGTTATGGACGCCTTAACTAGGCACCTATAGTACCGTGGTTCATGTTGTTCGCAGCAGGCATAGTTTTGATCAATGAGACCCGAAATGGCATCTACACAAAATTAGAACTTTAGAGGGATGCTCTAAGATTTAAAGATTTTAAAATTAGCCAGACTAAGACAGAGTATATGGAATGCAAGTTTATTAATAATAGGTGTAGAAACAAGGAAGTAGTTCAGATTAATGCTTAAGAAATACCAAAAAGAGTGGACTTTGGATATCTTGGGTCGATAATCTAAGAAAATAGAGAGATTGAGGAAGATATCGCACATATAATTAGAGCTGGGTAGGCGAAGTGGAGATGTACAACCACAGTTTTATGTGATTGCCGAATACCAATGAAGTTGAAGGGCAAGCTCTATAGGACAATTGTAAGACCAACTTTGTTTTATGGGGCGGAATGTTGGGCAATCAGATGAGTAGCAAGACAAGAAGGGATAGAATTCGAAATATATACATTCAGGAGAATTTAGATGTGGCACCAATAGGTGATATTATAAGAGAGAGCAGACTTAGGTAGGCTAGCCATGTGCTGCGTAGATCCAGTACAATATCTGTTAGGAGGTACAAGTTAGTTCAAGTGGAAAGCTCAAAAAGGACAAGGGGTAGGCCCAAAAGGATATGGTTAAAAGTAGTGAGAATAGATTTAGGGACCTATGGCCTCACTGAGGGTATGGTTTCTAATAGAGCAAAATAGTGAACCAGGATTTGTGCAGCCATTCCCAATTAGTTGGGAAAATGCTCTGACGATGATGATGATCACAGTCACAAAAAGTGACAGAAGCACTAAACTAAGTCCAAACACAATCAAGCAAAATGATACCATAGATTTTTTCTTGGTGCCACAACTCTACATATAGGAGATTTTCTTGGCACTCAATGCATTCTCTCCTCGTTCCATTCAACAAAAATAGGAAATTCCTTGTAACATATAGTGGTCATTGATAGGTTCATTCAGTTTTATATTGGAAAGTGAAAAACATAGAGAAGAAGAGAGAAAGGAGTCATACACTTGAAAACACACACCAAGGCACAACCCTAATTCTTGTATTATAATATGCCTATACACATTACAGTAAGTGCTTTACAATATAAACTATTAATAATACACAAATTACAAAACTTCCCTTCATTGTATTCTTACATTCCCCCCAAAGTTGTACTTCATGTTTGAACACATACAACTTGTTCTTTAAGAACTCATGTCTATCTTTTGCAAGCCTTTTTGTGAAGATACCAGCTCTTTGATTTTTGGTCCCAATCAAGCGAGCATCCTCAGCCACACTTTTCTCACAGACAAAATGGTGATCTATCTGATTGTGTTTAGTGCGACCATGAAATACTGTATTTGTTGAAATTGGCAGAGTACTCTTCTTGTCACAGTAAACTGTTGACTTGCATATTGTTGTTCCAAGAAAAGAAATAATACTTTGTATCTATGAAATCTCAGAAACTACCTGCAAGAGTTTGATCTCAGCATCAATGCCTAGACCTCGCAATAATTTTATGTTTCTTACTCCATGAAATTAGATTTCGAACAAGAAGTACACAATAACCTAAAACTAATCTTCTAGACTCTGGATCTCCAGCCCAAGTCTGCATCAGGGTACCCAATTATATAAACAATATTCAATTTGTTCAGGTTGTTTCTTTCATAGAGCAGCCCTTGATTCATGATTCCATTTATGGGCTCTTCCATGTGAGTGTCAATAGGAGCAAGCAAAAATTGACACACTTGACTAACAACATATGATACATTAGGCCCACTGAGAATGAGATACCACAATGCCCCTACTAAACATTTGTATCTCTCTGGCCCATATATTCCTCAAACTCTTCCCCAGGTCTTGAAGGAGTTTCATCAATTATTTCCTCCTCAAGACTATGCTGCTCACAACTTCTATCTACATCTTTACAACAAAATATTGTGTCTCACCTACCGCTTGATTCATGGTTCGACTCTGAATTCCATGATGCAATGACACTTCCCATTTACCTGAATCACTTGCATCCATTAAACAAGGAGGCATATACATCCCCCTTTCATCAAAGTTTATGTGTTGAGATAAGAACTCTTTTTAATCGAGGACTGTAACACATGTATCCAATATATTCATCAACATACCCTGTATAAAGACAAACGTCTGCCTTTGAGGATAACTTTCTTCTCTGGCTCTTGTCAATATGAACATCGCATAACATCCATACGAGTATAATTTGGAATAATCAGAACTTAGAAAGGTGATTTTCCATGTAGAACAACTGTAGACAACCTATTAATGAGATAAACTGTGGTATGAAATGCTTATGCTCATAAAAATTTAAGAACTACATTCATAAACATCATGGAAAACACAATTTCAATTGATACGCCTATGTTTTCTATCTGCTAATCCATTTTACTCAAGTGTGTGTGCACATGATATTTGTTGTTTCCCCCTATTATTCTCCTATTAGGTAATTGCATGCTCCATCACTATGGAAGTAAAGTATTGGTTTCTGAAAGTGTTTTCCAACAAAGATTTTGAATTTCATAATAATGCGGAACACATAGGGTTTCTTCTTAAGAAAAAATGTCCAGGTGAAAGGAGAGAAATCATCCACAAATGTAACATAATACAAAGAACCAGATAAACAAGATTGTGAAGCAGGATCCCAAACATCATAATGAACTAATTGAAAGGGAACAAAAGCTCTTTTATTATGAATCAAAAAGAGAAATTTCACTTATTTATCCAACTGACATCCATCATCATCACCATCAAAGCCCTTTCTCAACTAATTGGGGTTGGCTATATGAATCATAGTATGCTATTCTGCTCTATTAAGGGACATACCCTCAATGAGGCCATGAGTCCTCATATATTTTTCACTATTTCCAACTATCCAAAACACATTTAACAGTTATGCATTGAGGATTAGGAAGACCAATAGAAGTAGAAGATGACAAGGTCATTGTTAATAGAATAAGAAAGAGCAAAAGAGAGAAGGGCAACAAACCAGTAATTAAGTTTTGATGAGCAAAAGCGAGACAAGGAGAACAACTAAGATTTTTTTTTGTTTTAAGAGAAAGAAATAGGTTATGAAGCTTTCAAACAAGATATATCGTTTTATATTGAATGAAGAGAGAATCAAGAGGTTTGTGGCTTGAATATGAGGGTTTGAAGAAAGAATACTAGCATGAACAGTTGTATGAACATTAGTATAAACAATAATGTGAACAGTAGCATGAACAGTAATGTGGACAATAGCATGGACAATAGGTGCCCCTAATTAATATGGAAGAAATATAAGAGAGAAACATTAGGGTTTATGAAAGAAGGATGAGAATGATGAAAGAGGGTAAAGATGAAGAAAGAAAGATTAGGGTTAGAAGGGAAAGAGATAATGAATCTTCAAGAAGAAGGAAATATGGGTAACCTTGATTAGAGTTGATCATGCTGAGGGTATATCCAAACCTAGGTTTGATACCATGAAAAACATAAAGAAGAAGAGAGAAAAGAGGCACACATTAAAAACACTTGGTTGTGAAGCAAATTAAGCTAGAGAGACGACTAAATTGGATTTTATATTTTTATCATTTTTTTGAACTTTGGGACTTGGATAGAATTGTTTATTTGGTTGGGCTTTAAATATTGTCATGGGGGCAGTAGAGGGGGATCTGATTAATTGTGTTGTGTAGGATAGGGAGTTTCGTATGTGTAGGATTGAGGTGACCGTTTGCTTGATTAGTTAGGATATATACTAAATGAAGGGAAGAAGATATGGTTTGAGTGTGAATAGACAGGGGCTTCCTAAATGTAAGGGATTCATGCAAATAGGAAGGGGGAAGTTAGAGACAGAGAATAATATGGGATAGTGGGATATAAAGAGAGATTTATGTGGAGGGGGACGGCCTTATAGACTTGGACTTGGTTTTTCCTTTGAGAAGAGCTTTAATTGAAAGAAGAAAGTGTGTTTCTTCTTCCATTTGGCTTATTTTATCAGCTTTTATTAATCTCCTTTATTGCTAGTTGTTGGCTTGTTCTATGATCGAAGGATGGAATCAATTTCCCGAGCTCCTTGCACATCGAAGGCACAACCCTAATTCTTGCATTATAATATATGTAATATTATATCTTGAGCAAGGACAGATGTGCCCTTACACATTATGCCAAATGACTTTACAATATAAACCACTTAAAATACACACAAATTACAGAACTACCTTTTATTGCATTCTAACAGGGAAAGCACTGGTTGGGCATATCAATGTAAATTGTTTTGCCCATTTTGGATGCCTTGATTATCTTCCCACCTTCTTTTGTCTAATTTTTTTAGTGATTTTATATGGTAAGTAAATTCTTTTATCCATTCATGTATAAGCGTATAATCTTATGAATTTCCTTGTTCCAATTTGATTGACCTTCAGCTAAGCTTTTATAGAATCATAACAATATAGACCCAAGGGCAACGTTGCCCAAAAATAAGAGAATTTGTACCGATATGTCTTCTTCCTCATATCCAAAGAAGTTCTTAGCTGATTTGCCTTCTTTCAATCAGAATTTTACACCAATGTAGTGATTAAAAGTTTTTTCTTATTTATTAGCTCTGGCTTCCTCCTTTTTAGATTTGTGGTACAGAAAAGGGGAAAAAAAAGTTTTGCAGCCCTAGCCCACCTCTAGCAACCAAAAAGAGAAGGGAGAAGAAAACTAAAAAACTATGGAGTGACTTAGGTCACTTCTATGGAAAACATAATACGATAACGATATTGACAAAACTACTACCAAAATCAAGATATTTTATTTTGTATACCTGCAATAGATCATTTTCCCCAAAAATCTAGTAAGCCCTTGAAATCAGACCTCTTTACAATAAACAACACTTGAGATGCTCTTCATGGATCATTTTATTAGCTGCCAAGGCGACATGGGTTTATTAAAAAGAAAAGGAAAAAAATAAGTGAAGCTTCAACAAAGCACCGTAAATAAGCAATCCAAACCAAGTTCCTTAAATTGGCTCCTTAGTTTGAACAACTTGCTTCCATCCAAAACCACTTCAGCCGTAGAGTACCATAATATGCATAGTTTGTTTTGTAGTGAAAGACCTCTTTGATGTCCAATAAGTACAACTTAGCTTTAGAATACAAGGTTCAATGCAACACTGAAGGAGAATCAAAGAAAAAGACACTAAGATAGCAATAAATAGTGCTGCGAATTTATTAAATTTTACTAATACTAAATATTCATTATTTATGTTAAAATCATCTAAATACACGTGTAGTGCCTGATATGAAATGAGGAATGAAAATCATACATATATGAATACCTGAATATAGTACAAAAGAGCTGAATTTTCATCCTGCTCGTTGAGAACCTGAACTGGGTAAAACTGATTTACTCCTGCTTCCAGATTTATTATTCTATCCGTCAAGTGCTGTGATGGGAAAAGAGGTTTGCATAAAGACTGGGAACCATTGAAAAGAACATCTTCAACATCCTGTACCAAAGCTTGAGCTTCATCTGGGGTAACATTTCCTGAAAGGACTCACAATAACATGGTAAGTGATGACGAATTGTCATTCAAATATGATATAATTGTGGGAACGTTAGTTTGCAGCACAAACCTGCAACATAGCATTCAAAAAAAGCCCTTGAGAGTAAGCGTGGTACAAATTTCGAGAGATCTTCAGCCTTGAGATGCGGAAGCACCTCAAGTTCTTCATTCCAAGGCCATGACTGATCCTCCATTATTAATGAAGAATAATACATGCCTTGCTCATATGGTTGTTCAAATTTTGTATTTTGATAATCCTTCGTTACATTTTCCTGTTTCAATTACAAGAACAAGAGACCTGTTAATAACTTTTAAGTGATGTTGATCCTCAGAATATTTTAAAAGACAAACATATATATGAAATTCTTCGATGTTATTAGTGAACATTAAAGTTCATTCTAAAATGTCAGTTTACTTAAGACCAAGATAGTTTTTATTGGTTCACATCCAGCAAAGGAAACAAAGTTTGGTTTGAAAAGCCATTAAACTAGGAAACAATCCCTAGACTAAGAAATATTCTAAAGAGCATGTTGCTAGTTGTGGAGATGTTATTACTTGGCATGTGCTTGTCCATGTGTATATTTTGACACAAGGGAGCTATAGCTGATTCTTAACCTACAAAGAAACAAATTCAAATTGAAATAGATCTGTATGCTTTCACTAGGTTTCAGGATGGCCATTGAAGAATCCATATGGCAGCTGAGATTAGATATGAATTAGTACATTTTAGTGCAAAAAAGATTCATTTCTTTTATGTTATCCAGACAATGTTTGACACCTGAAGAGCTTTGATGCATGGAGAAGGGTAGATTGACATGTTGAAAAAGAACAAGCTTTCAATACTTAAAGGTCTTTCCAAACAAAATGGAGTCCCCAAGAGAAAAAAACAACACTTTCTGGAAATTACTCATTCCCTGAGACACACCCTAAAGTTGAAAAAATTTATAATATGAATTCATCCTTACTGTTGCCTTCTTGATTAACTGTATGCCATCAAGGGTTCTTTAGGGTGTGTTTCCTATCCAAACTCTTCATTTAATCCCCATTTGTTTCCTATACTCCCAAGTTCTTAATTCCTATACTCCCTAAAGTCATTAAGTGTGTTTCCCTAGGATATCCAACACATCAAAAAGGTTTCAAATGCTAAGATCCTATTAACAAAGTTATATCTTTGTGAATGTTATCTTCTTTGAATGCATTCCATATTTCTACAATACTGGAAAACAATACTCTGTTCCGGTAGAGAACAATTGACAGGAAGAGAGCAATTCAACATCAATGCCTCTACTTTTTTAAAACCCATCCGTTTCTGAAATATCCCAAAATAAAGATGGGAATGCGGCAATTGACCCCAAGGAGGAGTTGAAGGTGTATGTTTGAAGAAGGAAGTTGGTATAACCTAAAGTCCAGAATGATCATCACTCAAGTGCCAACCCCAAACCAGGTACTTAACTTATACTTCCTACTCTAGTATTTCCTCAAAACCTCCCAGCTCCACTCTTCTATAAGATGCTGACTTGCCTATTGCCTTACTCAAAGATAAGCATTCCTACACTAAGTATCCTATAGGCAAATTTGTTTCTTCTAACTTGATATCGTGTGTTCCTTTCATCATTGTCTACTGTTAGCATTCCATCTTATGTAGCAGAAGCTCTGTCACAACCTCCATAGAAGGCAGCAATGTTGGAGGAAATGCAAGATCTTGAAATAAACAGTACTCGAGAAGTCACCAAACATTCTGAAGGAAAGAACATGGTAGGATGTAATTGGATAATTACCTTGGAATACAAGGCAAATGGCACTATAGAAAGATATAAGGCGAGATTGGTAGTAAAAGATTTTATATAGACCCATGTTATAAACAACAAAAGAAACCTTTACCCTTGTAGCGGAGTTAAATATTGTTAGGTTTATTCTTTCCGTAGCAGCTAATAAAATCTTGGTCTCTACGTCAAATGGATGTGAAAAATGCCTTTCCACATAGAGATCTTCATGAGGAAGGAGGCTATATGGCCATGCCTCTAGGATTTCAACTTCATAGAGGTGTGTAATAAACAAAGAAAAGATATGGACGCAAGCAATCACTGAGAGCTTTGTTGGGGTTATGTAGCCATTTAAAGGCCTTATGAGAGCATACAAAACTGTAAATATGGTGATGTGATGCTCCAGTGCGAGTGTGGTCCGGATGGACTGTGTGGCATGGGACAGGGTGGACTGTGAGGCATTATTGATGCCGTGACTCACCTAAGTTTTAACGAGCTATGGCTCAGGTTGATGTCTAAAAACCTATAGCCTAGGGCATTATTGATAACGGTTTAGATGCAGTGTCATCCCTCGATGAGGTCGGAGTTGTGTCGTCGTTGGTTGTCCAGAGGACTGGGTGTAACCCATGCGTGTTGTGGTTGGCAAGAGAAGACAAGGGCCAAACTCTTATCATCACAATTGTCTCGTAGAATTTGCCTTTTAGCTTTCATTGGTATGCGGTGATCACATAAAATTTTGACTGTACATCTTCGCTTCGCCCACCTAGCTCTAATTCTATATGCGACATCTTGCCCAATCTCTCCATTTTCTTGGATTATCGAGACAAGATATCGATAGTGTGCTCGTTTTAGTATTCCCTAATCGTCAATCTTAACTACTTCCTCATCTATGCTTCTATTGTTATTAAATTAGCATTCCATATACTCTGTCTTAGTCCGACTAATTTTAAAATCTTTAGATTCTAGAGCATCCCTCCAAAGTTCTAACTTTGTGTTGACACCCTTTCAGGTCTCATCGATCAAAACTATGTCATCTGCGAGCAAAATGCACCATAGTACCTCATCCTGTAAGTACCCAGTTAACTCCTCTATAACTAAGACAAAGAGGTATGGGCTCAATGCTGACCCCTAATATAGTCCTATTGTCACTGAAAACTTACTCATCTATCCATTAGTTGTTTGTACACTAGTTAATATTCCATCGTATATATCTCTCACCAAGTCGATGTAGTGTCTGGAGGCTCATTTCTTTTCTAACACCCACCAAATCAAATCTCAAGGTACTCTATCATAACCTTTCTCTAGATTGATAAAGACCATGTGGGGGTCTTTTCCCTTTGCCTTAAACTTCTCAATTAGTTGCTTAAGTGAAAAAATCGTCTCCGTTGTTGACCTCCCTTGCATGAAACCAAATTGATTTTTTGATACACTCATTTCATGTCTTAGTCGTTGCTCAATCACTCTCTTCTAGAGCTTTATAGTGTGGCTCAAAAGTTTGATCCCTCGATAGTTCACACAATTTTGTATGTCTCCTTCATTCTTATAAATAGGTAATATAATACTTTTTCGTCATTCATCTGGCATTTGTTTTTTGTTCACAACACCTTGTTGAATAACTTGGTCAGCCAGTTAATGCCAATCTCCACCATGCACTTCCAAACCTCTATCGGGATACCATCTGCTCCCAAAGTCTTTCCTATCTTCATCCTTTTCAAAGCTTCTTTTAATTCTAATATCCTAATACTACGAATGTATATATGACCTCCACCCTCATTTATGCCAATAGTTCCTTCTACAGCTATGTCCCTATTGTGTCTGTCATTTAATAATTTTTGAAAAAATAAACTCTCCACCTCTAGTTGACCTATTCATCCTTCACCAAGACACTCTTAATGCATTTAATATGGTCTAGGACCCCACACTTTTTCTCTCATTTTTGCTAATTTTAATACATCTTTTCCACCTTTTCTTGTTTCCAGTTAATTATATAGATTATCATATGCTTTAAGTTTAACCTTACTATTTGTTTATCATTTTTCTTAGCATTTTTATATTCTTTGAAGTTTTGATCATTTCTACTATACAACCAAGTTTTATAACATGAACATTTTTTTTTAATGGCCTTCTGAACCTCATCACTCCACCACCAAGTTTCCTTACCGGCATTTCTTTTTCCTCTAGATTTTTCTAAAACTTATTGTCAGTTTCTTAATACAGTCAGTCTTCTCATTCAACTTAGCATTGACCTCATGTTAAGAGTTCTATTTTCCTGCTTTAACTAATTTATCCCTAAATAAGTCTATTTTCTCATTTTTGAAATTCCACCACCTAATTCTTGGACACCTATTAATTTCACCCCTTCTCTTCCATGTAAGTACCAATCCACTTCTAAAATATTTTATTTAGGTATTAGAAATATTTTTATTATTTTTACAAATTTTTCAGGATTTCAAAAATCTTTTATGCTGCAAATTAATTAAAAAGGGTATTTTTGAAATTTTCAGAACTTGGAAGGACACATGTGGGAACCAAAGATCCCCCCCCCATATGTGTGTGCCACCATGAGTTGGGCGTGTGGCCTTGTGGGGCCCACATAAGGTCCCTGGGGAAGCACACCACTTTTTTTGTTGTATGTGCCATCTTTTAGTGAAAAGACAGTTAGTTAGGGAATCATTTTAAAAGAGACTTGTTCCCTATTGAAGTGGGAGTTTTAAAATAAAAGGATTATTTTTGACATCCTATAGATTTTGAAAGATCTAGATAATATCAAAAGTGGCAATAATTTAAATTTAAAACAAAGTTGGATATTGGTCAAATTATAAGGGGACAAGGTTCTTGATTTCCACCAAAATCATGATGGCTGATTTATGGGATGGATGACTCAAATTCAATCTCTCTCACCCCATAAATTTCTTAAATATCCTAATGGTCAAGCTGGAAAATTAGATAAGGCATACCTCGATGGAATCCTAATCTTAGTGGAAGATAGATTTGTTATTCTATTTAAACCTAATTGAACCTCTCTCAAAATCTTATGACAAGATATCTCTCTCTCTCTCTCAGACACATCAAAAAAAAAAAGCCTCACCCTCACACGCACATGAGAAAAAAACAGCCCGTCTCTCATGCTATATTTCTCTCTCTCTCACGCCAAGAAAAGAGAACCTCTCTCTTTTCCTCCACGCATCATATCTCTCTCTCTTTCAAATTTGAATCACACCTCTCTCTCCCCATTGCATCATAGAGGAACAGTGCCTAAAAAGAAAGAAAAAGGGAAGGGGCACTTTGAGACCCTTAGTGAGGGAATTGTTGTTTTAGAAGAAAAAGAGACGTACAACCAGCCAAGGGATAAATAAACCCTCAAGCATAGCTCTAAGTTGTTCATCTAGAGTTTCTACAAATCCTAGAAAAGCTATTGAGCTATCTAAAACCCTAGATTGAAAGGTATTGTCTATAAAGCTTCCCTATCTCAGAAATTCCAGCAAACCTAAAAGACTAAAAGTGTGCCATCAGTCAAAAAATCGGGTGTATTTTATAAAATATTTTTGTGGACTTTCAAGAACATATTTTGCACGTAAAATCATAGTGGAAGATTGGTTATTGTTATGGATGGTATCTATTTGCTTTGGCAGTAAAAGTAAAGATCCTAGGTTATGTTTAAGGTTTTAAATTTGATTTACAGCAGTGTATAGTGGCCTCTATAAGTGGAATTCAAGTATATTAAAAATAAAAATAAATAAATTTATTACCTTGAGTTCCACATAGCCAGTCCTTTCGTAAGTTCTAATAGATGATGGGTTGTTAATACCCAATCCAATCAGTTATGGTTGAACAAACAGTTTTGCCAGTCCTTTTGGGACCACTTGCTCCCAAATTAGCTTCATGCCTCTTATGAGTGGGTCAGGAAAATATTAACTGATAACTAGCTGGGTCAGCAATCATGACATTTCAATAGTTTTTAAGGGAATGGACTTTGGGCTTTATGTGTACACTTTAAGATTTCCTAGGCCATCAAAATGAGATGCAGAAAGTATAAAGACCAAAACATCTCAGAGATGAGATGTCTTCTTCCCCTAGTGCCTAGCTTGAAAGCTGTACACACAGGGGAATGAGGGTAGGAGCATAGTAGTACCTTTACCTAACAAACATGCTCAACAATGGAAACACCAAAAATGTTCTAACCTCCTCTAGTGATAATACTTGTTAATCAAATGTTAGCTTATCAACAACAATTTCTTTCTTCATCTATGAGGGCCATTTTCTGACAGTTCAGTTATACATAATGAATCATTTTCAATCAGATCTTACCATTTATCCATAAGGTGGCACTAGTTCAAAAAATATGTTGCATGTTACCCAAATGATGTATTTTACATGGCCAACAAGCATACCTTAATTACCGAAAACCTGTCTTGTTTCACCTCAAATTGAACAATCTTTTCAATTATTGCATCTAACAAGAGCCTCATTTTATGATTATAGCCAAACAACTCAATCTGCAAAAAGCAAAACCAACATAATTTATCAAGATGCATCTTCTGAATAGTTTGTGAAGATAAAACAACAAATCTTCAATATACACAAGATATCAGGATTATAAATGCAAGTATCAAACTTAACTTCTTTTAACCATGTGAAATGATGTCATTGCAAGCAACGAAACATTCCATCATGCAGAAAAGGTAATAAATACCAAATGCTATGAAATAAAATTTTCCCAAAAGTAAAAGCACATTATTCGACACTATGGGATCATGCAACCCTTGACTTATGAATTGCTTTAGATACAGCTCTTGACTTATGAATTGCTTTAGATATCAAAATATATCCGGTGGAGTAATGGCAAATTTAGGTCATAATTGGCGGTTACAGTGTCCAGCATTCAGTGGCTCTTGAAGCATTTGTACATAGCTATAGTCTAATCTGAAGACTGAACATACAAAATAAATTCTCAGTTCACAGAACGTGTAATAACATCATTACGTGTTGGATTTGTAAAACTGTATAGCACATAAATTGAATGAAAGACGAATAGAACATTGGATGATCAAACAAAAGAAGACCAACATCTTCTTTCTCTCACATTACTGATCCTAGAATAATTATCCTAGTACTAATATTTCTTCACATGAAAGTATCGACAGGTAGGACCCCAACACCAATACAAGACACTCTTAGGATACTCATAAATGCAAATTGCATCAATCTAAAAGTACATATATGATTATAATATTTGCATCATTATACAATCTATCTAAAACTAATTTTCTTATACCATGTACAACCCCGCCATTTGTATAGATGAGATCAGTTCCCTAATCGATGAGAGTTTTGCCCAAGTTTCTTTAATTCTAACTTGGCATCAGATCACAAAATCAGAAAACTAACTGCCTCTGAATTTGTAGTGAAAATCAGTCCAACATATATAACTTGTTAAATATATTGGGGGGAATCAATCTTTAATTTAGGATAAAAAATCTGAACTTGGGGAGAAGTTTTATCATAAAGCTGAAAGAAGTAGCTATGTGGAATTCAAGGGAATAAAATCAAAAAACTTTCTCTATTCTTTTTATTCATGTTTTTTAATTACACTTATAACTGCCACAAAACACTGCTATAAACAAGAAATAAACCCTAAATACAACCTAGGATTTTTTTTTCTACTACCAAAGAGAATACACACAATCCATAATTGAAAAATAAGCTTTGACTATAAATTTTAGTAGAATAATGTTCCTGAAAATTCAAATAAACAAGCAAAGAATGACTAGAAATAAAACTAAACAGCCAGGAAGACTAACTTGAATTTGCCTAGACTCACCCCTTAGGACTAAGAATACCTCACACCCGATTTCCTGACAGATGACACACTTTGATCCTATTGGTCCTGCTGAATTTTCTAAGTCAGGAAGCTTCCTTAGGCAATGCCCCACAGATCTAGGGAGAGCATAAATGAGATTAGGGTTTCTAGATCCTTGTTCAGACCTCTCTAGGGCATGGCTTGAAAGGCACCTCTCTTTGTCTTACTATGGGCAAGGTGTGCTCTCTCTATTATCTTTGGGTGACATTCCACCCCTAGTATCCTAGGGTTGTGCATGCCACCCTTTAGTGACTAGAGAGGGTGTGAAAGAGAGAAAGAGAGAGAGAGAGAGAGAGAGAGGCTAGAATGTAGTGTAGAGAATGAGAGTCCCCTTCTTATATAGGCCTTAAGGGCCCTAGGTATGCCTATCTAAATAATGACTCATCATGACCAATAGGATTTTGGGAAATCTGGGATTTGAGAGAAGATTAAATCTGAGTCATCCATCTCATGAATTAGCCATCATGATTTAGGGAGGACTCTAAGAACTTTAACCCCTGAATGTTTTGACCCATATCTATTTCTAATTAAACTAGAATAATACAAATCAAAATATAATCATCTAGAACTCTATATCTCTCACAGATTGTAGGAAATCAAAAAAGAAAAAAGGTTTGGTAAAAAAAAAATCTTAACTCCCAACAAAGTATGGACATCATTGTTTGAGCATATTTTTGTTGCACTAACACCCCTGGTCAAATAATAGAGGAAGCGGTTACGACTTAGGCCCAAAGGTACCAATCACACCTGTGGACTATGGAAGCCCGCACCAATAAGCCTGACTTTTGAGCAATTTTGAAAAGGTGTCCTCATGGCTCCAAAAAGCATGAGAGAGTGGGATTTGATGTTTTAAGAGCGCACGCCAAGTTTCATCCCAATCCAATAAGGGTAAAGTAGATCAGGTAGAAAGTTACATTTCGCAGTGCCACTCTCTTTCATGCTGAAAGTTACCTCATAACTAGAGCTATATTGGCAAGGTCTCAGATGAGCACTAGACCACCGCTATTAGATTCGGAAGGCCCAAAAATCCCCAAATACTAATTTTCAGTTCATTTGGATACTTCAAGACCATTTTGAGCCAAACTTACCCAACGGGTAGGTTTAATACTATTCCCATGAAGCTTCATTGAACCAGTTTCCATTTATGGAAACTGTGATTTTTGGAAACGGATATTCTTTGGGAAGCATAACTTCTTCATCCTAAGGTCAATCAATCCCAAATTTTAGTATGTCGTGCATCTCATCAAGGCGCACATATTGATATGTGGTACGGTCTGTGACAATGCCCAGAACGAAAGATATTGTAGAAAGAAGTTGACCAAAAATGCTTAAAATGCAGAATTTTCAAAGACAAACATCTTTTACTCCCATGACCATATTTCAAAGCCCCGACATGAGATGACCTCATGAGTGAGTCCGTTACGACTATGACTCGAAGGGCTTCAATTTGAGGTATGATTTGCATGAGATTGAGGTCAGGAAGACACCTTATTTTGGCTCGCAAGAAGGCATGACTTTCTATCGCCGGAATTCTATTTTTCGACGACCTCCAAAATTACAAAAGTGATCCAATGAGCACCAAATCGAGGGGTTTTCGTTGCAAAACGATCACAATGACCTCCTGTCGATTATTGATGAAGAAAGTGATAAAAAACAAGGCGAAACAAGCAAGGTCGAAAGAAGAAAAATTCAAGAATGATTTCGCCCGAATTTTGGGGTCAACCTCAAAAGTTGGATTCAAATCGATCGTCTAGAGGAGCCCGACACTTTTACGGTGTTAGTTCGCTCGACGTTCATTGGAAAGCACAAAAAATGGCCCTGAACCATAAGGAAGGCAAGAGGCCCCTTTTGAGGGATGGTCTCGTCATTTCCATGAAAGATGAGAGGGGTAAAACAATAATTTTTACCCAAAAACGAAATTCACTTTTTAATTTAGAAAAATGCATTTTTCATCAATTTAGAGTTATTTTGATCATCCACCCTAGTTTAGGGGAGATCCTATATAAGTTCCTTTCACCATTTTTTTTTTTCATCAATTTAGCATTTGCTTGAGTTTTTTTGCGTTATGGTTTCATTCTTCACTTCAAGAGAGAGGAGAGAGAAACATTTAGCTTGTGAGAGAATACCCTAGGGCTCCCAAACTTCCATACCTCCCACTTCCTACTTCTACATTCCATACTCCCTACACCATACCACACCCTACACCCTAGACCATCCATCCTAACCCACTCAATCCTACACCACACCATATCCTATTTCCTGTACTACATCATATCCTACTCCCTACACCACACCACATCCTACACACTAGCCCACCCATACTTAACCAACCAACCATACTCCATAGCCCACCTAGGTCCATTCAAACTAACCTTGCACCCTAACCTCCTACCCAAAGACCTAACCCTTTCAAGGGCGCTTCAATGGCCGACACACTTAGCCGCCGGGTTCGAGTCTTCAGCCAACTTGCTAAGTATCTAGTTTCACTCTCTCTCTCATCTTTTCTTCTTCTCTTCTCTTCTTTCTTCTTCTTTCTCTCTTTTTCCTCTAATTCTCTCTCTTCCTCGCCCCTCGGAGAGCCAGGCAGCTAGGCTGCCCAGCTCCCTCCTCTTTCTGTTTCTCTCTCACCCCCACCCTCAGAGAGCCAGACGGCTGGGCCGCCCAGGTACCTTCTCTTTCTCTTTTCTCTTTCCTCTCTCTCTCTCCCCCCCTCCTTGGGAAGAGCCGAGCGGCTAGGCCGCCCAGCTCCCCCTTTCCCTCTCTTTCCCACCCTTCCTACTCTTCTCTCACTCTCTCTCTATTCCCACGCTCTCTCCCTTTAAAGAGTGAGGTGGCTAGGCCACCACTCCTCTCTCACTCTCTTTCTCTCTCTAACTCTCTCAAAATATCTCTCCCCCTCTCTCTTCTCACTCTCTCTACCTCTTCAAAGTGTGAGGCGGCTTGGCCGCCCCATTTCTCCCTTCTCTCTTTCTCTCTACTCTCTTTCTTCTTGTCTCACTCTCTCTTATTTCTTTTACTCTCCCCACTCTCTTTTATTTTATTTTAAATACGCTCTATTGAGGGGGTACGAGCATTAGGCCGACCTAAGGGCTTTTTAGCACCCAAGAATTTTGCATCTCTTGCAGTGCCTTCGGGGTGTTAGGTCTCGGCCTAATACCTTTTTAGTGGGTCAACCAATAAAACCTCTTGGGAAAGGGACGTCGAAAGGCTGCCGAATCATAGTGGTGCCCTTCTTCTTTTCCTTCTTCTTCTTTTCTCATTTCCTTCTTTTCTCTCCTCATACACTCTTTGAGGAGGTACCAACATTAAGTCAACCTTGGGGCCTTTTGAGTGCCCAAGAAGTTTGCATCTCGTGTCGTGCCTCCGGGTGCTAAGCTTAGGCCTAACACCTTTTATGGGTCAACCGGTAAGGCCTCTTGGGGGAGGTGACGCCAGAAGGATGCAGAATCGAAAAGTGATCCTCTTCTACCCTTCTCATTCTTCTTCTTCTTTGTCTTCATCTCTTCTACTTTTCTACCCCCCTCTTATACCCCATCCAAGACTTAAGCTTAGTTCACCTAAGCCCTTTTTACCCCAAAACTATCATGAACCGGGACGAATCAAGGAGCTATCAACCCCGAATTTTATACCTCAAGT